GCACTCCAATTTCAGCACATCGCTGGGGTTGAAGAATGGGAGGATCTTACAACTGGTGTCCCCTGAGAAGCATTTGGATTCTCAATAAGGCTTTTAGTGTGGTTACTTCTTCAGTAGTTTCCAGTGAACAAACTGCAGGTGCTAAATTCTGCAAACTACAGTGTTAGGGCGTGTGTGTGTGTGTGTGTGTGTGTGTGTGTGTTATTGTTTGAGTAGCCTTTTAATCACATAGTGTCTGCTATTCCATAGTGTTTGAACATCTCACATTAAGTTTGTGACAAAACCATTCCAAAATCTCTGATGAAGGACAGCAAAACTGTCTCGCTGTCTTTCTGTGACCAGGATTTCTTGTTACATTCTTCTGTGCTATAGTTACCTCTTGGACACATACTGAAGGGTGTGAACAAAACACTGTATGCCAGACATGCTATATAATTTGTGGGTCCCCTAGTAAAGTAAGAATATGGGGCTCCTTATTAAACAATTGTGAAGAATTTCAAGACTGCAACAGGGGAGTGTTAAACCAAACCAGGCACTTCTGAGTGTGTCTTTGCAGCTACACAGGTTGTGTACTCATCAAGCCAGCCCTGACTATGTCTGTGACCGCCAAACCATTCATAGCCTTCATCTTGTTTGTTCCAGTGTTGATGACAACTGTATGACATTGACATTTAAAAAACTGATTTTTCAGTCTATAAATATTCTTCAAACTTTTTAGGAGAGAATCTGACTGGACTCACCATTAACCCATCATGCTGTTTAAAATAGGCTCTGGTTGTTTCTGCCTGTTCAGATGTTTGGTATATATGATAGAGAAGTAGCACATTTAAAATGATCACTGTTTATTCGATGTGTACAGCAGAATGTAATTCAGAAAATTTGTTTTTAGAAATGTATTTTCCAGAGCAGGTTGTCCTTAGGATTCATAGTTTAGGTAACTGTCAAAAGTCAAGCGTTTGGTTTCCAACCATTGAATTGAGTGACCGTCTAAAGTCATCATTTAGACAAGAATTTTTAACCTCCACAAGTAGACCAGATCTTAAAAGGAGCGGTGTGCTTGGTTCATGTGTATAGTCTGTGATGTTTGAAGTTTGACAAGTGTGAACAAACTGTGTTTTGTGTGTTTGGTTTCTTTTCAGATTTTTTTTATATTGTTTCTTACACCTGGATTGAATAGTGATTTATTCTTGATTTTTTGTAGATATTTTTGGAATTTTTCCTCCTGATGATAACTGGTAAAACTGATGTTCTGGTTTAAATTCATCTACACAAGATTTAAAGTATTTGCCAAAAAAAATAATTTGCAAATGCAGTTTTTTTTTTCCTTGAAAGACTCGTGACTTAATTGGAATTATATAATTAAAATTTAAATACAATTCTTAAAGATTATTTTGTTTAATATGAGAAGTCTGACATATCAAACAATTTTGCAAAGTGTAGAATTGTTACAATCTAACTCTGTTATTCTAAATTACTTTAAAATTTAATAAAATTGCCTAACATAGCTTTGTAAATCAGCTATATTCTAATAAAAATTTTCATAAAGTTGGAAGCCAAAAAAGATATAATATCCTCTGTAAGATATTTAGCAAACTTATTCACTCTTTACTACATGTATTTTCAATTTCCATTCCTTTTTTAATATTTTAAAATAATTTTATGCATATAATTAGTGGTCCAAACCATTTACTGTTGCAGCATCTTTCTTTTGCAGTGAAAATTATGCTTTAGTGTCTCAGTGTAGAAAGTATATGAGATACTCTACTCTAAGTTGTGTGGATTGTTTGCAACTGGATCTTCAGATATTAACAGTTAACCCAGGTGACCCTCCTTTTTTGTTACACTGGTCACCTGGGTGGTGACCACAACGACCACTCAATCATGTGCCAGTGCAGGGACACCAGAAGGGACACTGAGGTGGGCGTCTGGTGGTTGGCCTCTCAAAGGCTGAGGCCAAGGAGTGGATGGATCTTGGCTGAATAATAGTAAAGTGAAGCCATGCTCTGGTACCTCCTGCTCTATCTGAAAAACGAAAGTCTGCATGCAGTGTTTAGCGTGCGTCTGGGTACAGTGCCACTTTCGTCCAGAGCTCTGGCTGTAGATGGGAACAACTGGTCTTTCTGTCAGATCTCGGGTTTGGTATTTTGTCTTTTACCATCTGTTCTCCAGCGTGTGCTCCGGTCTGCCTACTTGGTGCTCTGCTCTGCAGTCTGTCTTCAGCCTCTGTCTACCCGGTCATTCCCCTGCATCCCTCTAGGGGACGGGGCTGACGCACCCACATGACTCGGCTTGTGCTTTTCTCGCTGGAGACAGAGCTCTGAGGGAACCTGCCTTTAAGGTTAGGGTTCTTCTTAATTAAATTAATTAAACTGAGGATCTTTGGGGAAAATCCTGGGAGTGATCTGTGATTCAGATTTGCCAGCAGTCGGTCAGCTCTGCGTTCCCCGCTGGGCTGGGCAGTGTGGATGACTCCTGCACGCCCGCGTCAGCCCTGTGTCTTCAGGCCTGTGTCTTGTCTCCTCAGACTACTGGCCTTGACTCCAAGTTCCAATTAATTCATTAGCTAGTGAATAATAAATAAACATTTATGAACCCCTCTCCCCTAGCTGGAACGTGACTGGCAAGTACATGCTTTCTGCTTCTCTCTTCCCTCTGCTTCCCTGTTGGATGTAATGGCCTTTTTGATCATAGTTATCCATTTAAGAAGCTTTACCTCCCGTGCCCATTGATGCCTGAACAATGTAATATCTCATTTTCCTTGAGTTTGAATTACAAAAGAAATATTATATATTATCTTCTAAGAATTGTCTTTTGACTCAGCACTGTTTCTAAGATTCACCCTTTCGGGACATGTTCACTCAGGTGCAACTAAGGAGTATTATTTCACTGTGTAAATTTATTACAGCCCATGTACCTATTCTTCTGACCTTTGGGCCAAGTGCTTGGATTGTTTCCAGGTTCTTGCTGTACAAACAGGACTGATGTGAGCATTCTTGTTTATGTCTCCAGGGATGCATGTAAGAATTTCTCTTTAGAATTTTTGGGTTCAAGTTAAGGGAAACTAGAGGATGCCAAATTGTTTTCCCAAGTGATTGTACCATTTTACACACCCCCCAGTGGTGTATAAGAGATCCTATTTATCTACATTCTTTCTAACACTTGGTTCAATCAGAATTTTTTTTTTTTTTTTGACTGCACTGAGCCCTTGTTGTGGTACACAGGCTTTCTCTAGTTGTGGAGTGCTGGCTCTAGAGCACAGGCTCAGTAGTTGTGTCATATGGGCTTAGTGTCCTGTGGCGTGGGGGATCTTCCCTGACCAGGGATTGAACCCAGTCCCCTGCATTGGAAGGTATATTCTTAACCACTGGACCACCAAGGGAGTCCCCAGAATTCTTAACCAATGCCAGTTAAGCAGTGTAAAATGGTATCTCATTATGGTCAAGGTTTGCAGTTCCCTGACCACTAGTGACCACTTAACTTTTTATAAAACTTCAATTTCTGGAACTCTACATTTTTTCCAGTCCTGACTTGGATTCACCTATGCAGATTTGCTTAGAGTCCTTTGCACACTCTTCCCACATGCTCCTCCCCCAACCATTGGGCTTCTTTGAACATCACCTGCCTTGCCCCAAGGTGTCCTTTATTTTAAACCATAACCTTTCCTCCATAATAAACTCAGATCCAGACCCACTTTCCCCACAAAACTTGCCCTTGTGAACATCAGGGAATTTAGGTCACTTCATTTAAACACTGAGTCCTGATGGGCCTCTCAGCCAGTGGCTAAAGTGCAGATGGGTGCAAGGTGTTTAGCTATGTTTATTAAGAACCTTAGGGGGCGTTCCCTGGTGGTCCAGTGGTTAAGACTCTGTGTTCCCCATGAAGGGGCCTGGGTTCAATCCTGGTCAGGGAACCAGATCCTGTCCACTGCAACTAAGAGATCCCTCATGCTATAGCTAAGATCCAGCACAGCCAAATAAATGTTTAAAACCAAACCCTTAACTTTGTACACTGTGACCTTGTAATTATATTTCTAAGAATCTCTCCCAAATATTGATTTAGCGACTGGTTGTATCTGATGGTCAGGTAAGTTAGAAAGCCACAGACTTATTTGCACCGGGATAGGGAAATAATGGTCATGAGTTTTCTTAAGCTCTGGAAGATAAACAACAGGGAAGTCTGGTGTGCTGCAGTCCATGGGGTCGCAAAGAGTTGGACACAACTGAGCGACTAAATAACAACAAGGGGAATGCTTGAGCAAACAGTATGGGTTGTGGTCTCAGCTTAGACTCCAGGCAGGCCTGAACCCTGAGCTGCCGGCAAAGCTGAAGCCCTTTCAGCAGAACTCAGTGAGATGAAAGGGCAGGAGGCTGTGGGAGGCCTGGGTGTGGATCACACTTCCATGCCAAGCCTGCTTGTAGACACAAGGGAACCTTTGTGCATGGATCGCTGTGTTGGGCAGTGCCCTGCAGACACCCGTGTGCACTCTGGGCAGCTACGGACAGGGTACGGTGCTTGCGACCTTGTTCCGAGACTCCTCCTGAGATTCCAAGCATACCGGGGGAGGACGCACAGGTAGCTGAAGTCTTTGCTGTCTGGAGGAAGTGGGTTCTGGTTCACATGACCTCTTTTAATGCTGTGGTTTTGTTGCATCTCTGACCTTTGGTTTGCCTGAGGAAAAATCAGATACGTAGAGAAAGGTTTTATACCTAAAGATATTCACTGTAGTGTTTTTTTTTTTAAGTAATGGTAAATAATTGAAAACAACCAGAATATTCCACAGTGTTTGTTGCTTTAATAGGAATCATTGTGAAATGGTTGATAATGTACTGCTTTTTCTATCTCATGTTACAAGAATTTTCCCAAGTCATTTTAAGCGCTTTACAAATTTTCTTGTGTGCTGATATAGCAACAAAATTACAGGCCTCTCTCAATGACCTGTGACCATGGAAGGGGAAAAGGAAAAAGCCCAGGGCAGAAAAGAATGTGTGATAAAGTTTATTATGTGGCTGTGCACACATGGGCGTGGTGTTTGGGTTCCCAAGGACATTTGCCAGTCAGTGCTGGCTGAGTGTCGGCATTTCTTGGTGGAGCCTGTTGAGAAGAGTGTATACTCTGTGTGTGTGTGTTGTCTAAGAAACCTCAATAGACTGAGGACCTGCTATTGACTTGCTCCTCCATTGATGGTGTTGTTCCCAGCTGAGATGATCGTAGGAGAGGTGTGCTGGGGATCACCCTTGGGAAGACACCAGGGCAGGGGGCAGGGAGAAGCGAGCACAGCAGGGTGGGCAAAGTGGGGACTCAAACTGCCAGGCTCTGCAGCAGAGGCCTCAGCTGATCCTGAGGGGAGCTTGGGACTGGGTGACCCTTCAGAGCTATCACACCTTCAGACAGGTGGTAAGGCCCTCATGTGCCTCATTGTCCAACCCCTGGAGAGGGACTGGGCCAGCTGTCTTCACTGGGGTGAATTCCTCAGGGGCCTCAGAGGGGGGCTGTCGACCACCAACACCCGTCGGCCTGGGGAAGGGCTTTGTCCTGCCAGAGTCTGGGTGTCGCCACCTCCCACCACAGGCAACATAGCTGTTCCCACATCAGGGTACAATGAGCCAGGTATTGGGATGGTCCTGTGCACAGCACCCGTGGGGCGTCAGCAGCACCCTGGTTTCCCCGCCGAGGAGCCAGGACAGGCTTCCTCGGCCCCAGCGTGAGGACAGCCTTCAGGCAGTGGCGCTGATGGCCCCCGGGATGGTCTGGGCCTGGGAGTGAGCAGCAGGGAGACTCAGGTGTGTGGCCTGGACCCTTGGTGAATGTGGAGCCGTTTGCCTGAATAGAGAGCCCGGAGGTAGGGGGGAGAGGTTGTGGCCCTGGGTCCTGATGAGGAGACAGTGGGGACGAGGGACCACGGGGACGGTGCTCGCTGAGTCGTCATTTCTCGCCCTAGAGCTTTGTGGCTGGTCTCCCCAGACACTGAACCTCTAAGACTGGCCCTTGGAAGTCAAAACTGGTCACACAGATGTTCCTCCTCTTCACAGAGGGCCCCCCAAGGCCAGCTCATGAGAGCTCTTCTGGGAAGTGAGGTCAAGCTGTCCTGAAGATGCCTGCAGCTGCCATTGGCCCGGGGACCTTGGAGCGACCGCTGATGGGTACGTGCCGGGACCCCCGCCGGTCCTGGCTGTCTCCGCGTTTCTCGGCAGAGCCCATTGAGAAGGACAAGGCAGAGGAAACCCAAGCCCGCCAGCCGAGGCCCCGCTTCTGCTCTTTTGTCTTCATAGAAACGCTTTGCTTGTCCACTGGACCCTGAAGCCATGGAGCCGTGCAGTCCATGAGGCCTGCTCTCTTGTGCCTCCACTTCTGCAGCTGTGAAGTGGGGACTATTGAGCTCCTGAGCACATAGGCTTGTTGGGAAAAATGGGGACTGCTTTAATCCTGCGCACCAGGGGCTTTTCTACTGAGTAGGGAGCGGACATCTGTGGCCCTGCTGGGCCAGATTCCTGGTTCTTGTTACCCTAGCATGTACACCAGAGCCCTTTCCCCAGGAACGCTTGAGAAAGTGGACTCCCTTCCTCTTAAATGACACATTGTAGGGTCTGCTGAGCACAGGGTGGGTGGGAAAGGAGAGGTTGGTGGTTAGTGGGTCAGAGAAAGGCTCTTGGTTTTCCCACGTCCATGTAAGTTCCCTGTAGCTTGTAGCCTCTTGAGGTGAGTTTAGATGAGGTGGGTCCCCAAGCTTTCTCTTGATTCCCTCCCACCGTGTGGTAGGGCCTGGGTAGGGCGTTTGCACCAGGGTCTGGAATAGATAGTCTGGGAGGGTGCTCTCGCCCCTGACCCCGTGGATGCCCACCCTGACCAGCTCTGGGGCAGCTGCCGGGTGGGGCTCCGAGCGCCCCCAGGTGCTGTCCGTAGTTTTCTCTTCCTCTGCTTTTACTGCCGCACTGTTACCAGTTTGACAGCGAGGGCTGCCCCTCGTTGTGGCGTGTCTCTTTCCTGGACAGTGGAGACTTCGGCTGCTGTCTCACTTTTCAGAGGTTGGTGTTTCTTGTTTCCAATTTGTTTGCAAGCTCCTTAGTGAATTCTTTGTGCCCCTGAAATCGTAGGATTTCACGTCCTCATGAGGGCCGAGAAGAATGTTTGCTGTTTCTTGAGTTCCATGGAGGGCCTTTCTCTCAGTATCTTCCGTCTGCTCCTTGCAGGCCCAGTCGGTTTACACAACATTGGACAGACATGCTGTCTTAACTCCCTGATCCAGGTGCTTGTTAGAAACGTGGGATTTGCCAAGATACTGAAGAGGTAAGACCATTTTTAAGGCAGATAAATGTGGTATTGTTTTTTGATTTCATTTATTCAGTTATTCACAGTTATTCGGACTTTGAGAAGTCTTCTTTCAAAAGCTACCAGAGAAGAGATCTTGTTTTGTACAATCTGGACTATACATTGTAATCATCTAGGAAGTTTAAAAAAATGTGAAATGCTGATCCCATCCCAGATATTTGGTTTCACTTGGGGTCTGGATGGGTGGGGCCCAAGCTTTCGAACTTTCCAGAAAACTCCCCAGATGATTCTAAAATGCAGCCAGACTGAGAACCACTGATGAGGTTAAAAGGAAGTTGAGATAGTATCAGTGGGTGGGTCCATGAGTCTGTTGATTTTTCTCAAATAGCACATACAGTATACACAGTGTGAAAACCCTTCTTCTCAGTGGGTTCTGCCAAGAAGTGTTGAGGCTCAGCCAGCAGTGACTGAGTGGAACACCATGCCAATGTGTGCATGTTCACATAACATACCTTATCGCTCATTCTTTTCTGCCTTGATCTTCCTCCTTTTCCTGTTTCATGGACACGGGAGGTTGCCTGTAATTAAACAAATCATTGCCAGAATACACTGACGTTCCTTCCTGTGTCCTTCCCAGGACTAGACCTTACTTGCTGTTTCCCTTTGAAGGACTTCAGGCTGGGCGTGTGCTGTGGACCCAGGACCTACTGCTCTTGCCCTTCATCTTGGTGTGATTCTCGTGCAGGGTCGGGAGAGGGTGCCCCGTCTCGAAGGGACGCTCTATAGCTGATTTACTGACATGGCTGCCCTCAGCCTTGTCTGTACATCTTAGTCATCTGGGAAATAAAAATTTTTATAACTGGGCCCCACCCCCAGAAATCCTGATGTGGTCCATCTGCAGAGTGGCCCGGACATGGAGATTTTTGAAAGTTCTCCCAGGTGACTCTAGTGTGGCCCTGGCGTTGGGAACAGTGGGGACAGGGAGGTTCGTGGCTCTTCTCACCCGGCAGGATAACAGTGCCAGGTGGAGCTGAGGAGCGGAGGAGGAGTGTCCCCTTCCAGCTGCTGTTGCTGCTGGAGAAGATGCAGGACGGCCGGCAGAAGGCGGTTCAGCCCAAGGAGCTGGCCTACTGTCTGCAGAAGTACAACATTCCATGTAAGAAGGGCCTCCTGCTCTGGCTCCTGGCCTGGTGCTCTGAGGGGAAGGGGAGCTCTTGGAGGGGTGAGGGGGAGGGAGCAGAAGAGAGGAGAGTGGAGGAAAGGAGGGGCCTTATGGCCCTTGAGTGCGCAGGAAGGAAAGCCTCCTTGTGTTGGATGCCCATGTGTGGATCTGAAATACCTTAGACGCCCTCATTTCGCAGGGACAGCATTCCTTTCATTATTCATGAGTGAGTTACTTTCTCGTACTCACTCTTTTCCTGCCTCTCAATGGAGTAAGTCAGCCTAAGAGTCTTCTCAAAGCTGGTTCAGCTGCAGGTAAAGCATCGTAAAGAAACAGAATAAAGGATTCGTAAGGAGAAACCATATTCTACAAAAGGAAACTCTTAAATAGCTTAGTTTTTTTTTTTTTAAACAGACTCAAATAAAATATACATCACATACTATAAATTCAGTCATTTAAAAGGATACAATTCAGAGGTTTTCAGGATTTCACAGAGCTGTGGAATTATCATACAGTCTAAATTTAGCACATTTTTATCATCCCCCGGAAGAAATCCTCTACCCATTGATAATTGCTCACCATTCTCCTTTGTTTTCTTCTAGGTTTCATACATCTAGCTCTTAGATCTATACCCGTGTTTCATTTAGAGTTAAATTTTGTGCATGGTGTGAGGTAGGTGTCCAGCCTCATTCTTTCGCATGTGGTATCCAGTTGTTTCAGCACCAGTTGTTGAAGGTGCTCCTCTCTTCTTGCTGAGTTGGTCCAGTCTCTTTCCTTATCCCAGTGAGCGTCCTCTCACTTCAGCAAACGCCTGGCAAACGCCTCCCAGCCATCCTTGTGAGGCAGGCCTGGTAGTGGTGATCTCTCAGCGTTTCTGTGTCTGGGAAAGCCTGTGTCTCTCCTTCATTTCTGAAGGACGGCGTTCCTGCATAAAGTTCTGTTCACCAGCAGTTTCTCCTTCCGTCCCTTTGTGTATACCTTCCTACTTTCTCGTGGTTTGTAAGGTTTGGGCTGAGAATGTACTGATACCCTTATGAAGCGGGTTCCCTTGTGGGCCATAAGCTTCTTTTTTCATACGGCTTTTAAGATCGCTTTGATTTTAAAAAAAATTATTTTTGGTTGCTCTGGGTCTTCGTTGCTTTGCGTGGGCCGTTTCCCCAGTCGGGGGAGTGGGGGCTACTTTTCCTTGCAGCACATGGGCTTATTGTGGTGGCTTCTCTCGTTGCGGAGCACCGGCTCTCGTTGCGGAGCTCCGGCTCTGGTTGCGGAGCTCCGGCTCTGGTTGCGGATCTCTGGCTCTCGTTGCGGAGCGCTGACTCTCGTTGCGGAGCGCTGGCTCTCGTTGCGGACCTCTGGCTCTCGTTGCGGACCTCTGGCTCTAGGGAACGTGGGCTCAGCGGTTGCAGCCCCCCTGGCTCTATTGCACAGGCTCAGTGTTGTAGCCCATGAGCTTAGTTGCTCTGTGACTTGTGGGATCTTCCCAGACCAGCGATTGAACCCGAGTCCTAGCCACTGCACCACCAGGAATTCCTGTCTTTGACTTTTGACAGTATTATGATGTGTCTTAGAGAACAGCTAGTTGAGAGGAATATGTTTGGGGACCAACAAGCTTCATGAACTTCAATGTCTGAATGTCTCCCCAGATTTGGGACGTCCTAGCCACTGTTTCTTGAAGTAAGTTTTCTACCCTTTCCCTTTTCTTCTTCTGGGACTCCGTCAAAGTGTAGGTTGTTTCCATGCCTTGTAAGTTAGGTTGTTGATTTGAGATCTTTCTTGTTTTTTTAACGTAAGCATTTGTAGTCTGAATTTTTCCTCCAGCTTTGCTTTCACTGCATCCCATGAATTTTGGTATGTTATGTTTTTATTTTCATTTGTCTGTCAATATTCTCATTTTTTTTTTGTTATGCAACAAAGTGATTCGATATTTCTATACATTTCAAAATGAACACCATAGGTCTAATTACCATGGGTTACCATGCAAAGATATTACATGACTATTAACTCTGTTCCCCACACTGCACATTTAGTACCTGTGCTTCACTTATTTTGCAACTGGAAGTTTGTGCCTCTTAATCTCACTCACATATTTCTTTCCTCTTTCCACTTCACACTGGAGACTGCTCAGGTTCCTTTTTTGTTATTATTCAGTCACTCAGTTGTATCTGATTCTTTTGAGACGCCATGGCGTGCAGCATACCAGGCTTCCCTATCCTTCAGTATCTCCCAGAGTTTGCTCAAACTCATGTCCATTGAGTTGGTGATGCCATCCAACCATCTCATGCTCTGTGGCCCCCTTCTCCTCCTGCTCTCAATCTTTCTCAGCATCAGGGTCTTTTTCCAATGAGTCAGCTCTTTGCATCAGGTGGCCAAATTATTGGAGCTTCAGCATCAGCATCAGCCCTTCCAGTTAGGTTGTTTGTTTTCTTAGTGTTGAGTTTGAATATTTTTTTGTATATTTTGTATCTTTTAAAAATATCTCTTTTGTGAATATTTTCTGTCAATCTGTAGTTTGTTTTCTCATGCTCCTGACAGAGCAGAAGTTTTTAATTTTAATGAAGTCCAGCTTATCAGTTCTTTCTTTTCTTGATTATACCTTGTTGTCATATCTAAAAAAATAATCACCAAACCCAAGGTCGTATGGACTTAGTCTTATATTATCTTTAGGAGTTTTATTTACAGTTTTGCATCTTACATTTAGGTCTGTTATCTATTTTGTTCATTTTTTTTCTTTTTTAGGATATAAGGTCTGTGTCCAGATTGGTTTTTTTCATGTGGATGTTCAGGTATTTTAGCAACATTTGGTGAAAACACTGGTCTCCATCGTGAAAGAGCAGTTGACAGTTGTTTCAGTCAGTTCAGTCGTTCAGTCACATCTGACTCTGCGACCCCATGGGCTGCAGCATGCCAGGCTTCCCTGTCCGTCACCAACCCTTGGAGCTTGCTTAAACTCATGTCCATGAGTCAGTGATGCCATCCAACCATCTCATCCTCTGTCTTCCCCTTTACCTCCTCTCTTCAGTCTTTCCCAAGATCTTTCAATCTTTTCACATTGTTTATTTTGATGTATTTTTGGGCTCTCTATTCTGTCCCATTGATCTATTTTTCTATTCTTTGGTAATACCACTTTGTCTTGATAACTGAGGCTCTGTAGTTTGATATTAGTCTTCTGATTTTATTTGATTTTTTCCTTCAGTACTGTGTTGGCTATTCTGAGTCTTTTGCCTCTTCAGGTAAACTTTGGAATAAGTTTATCAATATTCATGAAATAACTTTCTGGCATCTTGATGGAAGTTGCATTGAGTCTAGAGATCAGGTCAAGAGAAAGAACTGGCATGTTGATAATTTTTAGTCTTTGTATCCATTAACATGGAATATCTCTCCATTAGGTAGGTCTTTTGATTTTATTCTTCAGTGTTTGTAGCTTTTCTCCTATCGATCTTGTACATATTTGGTGAGATTTATATCTAAGTATTTCATTTCATGTGCTCTAATATAAATTATATTGTGTTTTAAATTAAAATCTCACTTGTTCATTGCTGATAAATAAGAAAGTGATTGACTCTGTATATTTGCCTTGTAGCCTTCAGTCTAACCATAATCACTTATTAATTCCAGGAGTTTTTGGTTATTTTGCATTTTTTATGTGAACGATCATGTCATCTGCAAAGAAGGACATTCTTAAATCTTCCTTTCCAGTCAGTATACCCTTTATTTCCTTTTCTTATCTAATTAGCTAGGGCTTCCAGTACAACGTTGAAAAGGAGTGGTGAGAGGTAACTTCCTTGTTTATTTTCCTGATCTTGGAAGAAACACTGCTAGTTTCTCACAATTAAATGTGATGTTAGCTGTAGGTTTTTTGAAGATGTTCCTTATCAATCTTAGGAAGGTTCTGTCAGTTCTTAGTTGGCTGAGAGTTTTTATCATGAATGGGTTTTGGATTTTGGCAGATGATTTTCTGTATCTATTAATGTACTCATGTGAATATTCTTTAGAGCCTGTTGATGTCATAGGTTCATTAATTGATTTCCAGTTGAACTAGTCTTGCATGCCTGGGATAGGTCTTGGTTGTGATGTATAATTCTTTTTACATTTTTTGGATATTCTATTTGCTAATATTTTCTTTTAATCTGTGTTCATGTGAGTTATTGATCTGTAGTTTTCTTTTATTGGAATGTTTTTGTCTGGCTTGGTATTAGGGTGAAGGTGATCTCATAGAATGAGTTGGGAAGTATTCCCTCTGCTTCTATGTTATGAGGAGATTTGGGGGAATTGGAAGAATTCCTCCCATAAATGTTTGGTTGAATTCATCAATGAACCTAGTGGATGCTCTGTTCATTTTTCCTCATTCATTTTTCCTCTCATTCCTCAGGCTGTATAACCTCAATTGACCTATTTTCAGGTTTGATGATTCCTTTGCCAACTCAGATCTGCTCTTGACTACTTCTGATGAGCACGTCTGTCCTTGTACTCTTCCAGTCAGGAATTTCAATTTGGTCTTTTACATATTTTTTCTCTCTATTGGTACTTTTTGTTTGGTGAGACATTGTTTTCATTCTTGAGTTATTTGGAGTTTTTGGATGCTTTAGTTCTTTGAACATATAGTAATAACTAATCTGAAGTCTTTGTCTAGTACGATAACATCTGGGGCATCTCAGTGAGTTTCTAGTGACTGCTTTTTTTCCTGTGTGTGCACCATATCTTTCTGTTTCCTTGTGTGTCTTGTAATTTTTTGTTAGAAACTTGACATTTTAGATAATGTGACAACACTGAACATCAGAAACCCCCACAGTGGGGTCTGTTCTTGCCATTGTTTTTACTGTGGCTGTTCGTTTAGTGACTTTCCAAGACTAATTCTGTAATGTTTATATTCCCTGTAGTATGCGGCCATGGGAGTTTTTGTGTGGTTAGCTAAGTGTCAGGTAGTGACTGACTAGAAATTTCTTTAAATGCTTTGCACTAACAAGTCTCCTAGTCTTTGCCAAGGGGCCCTGTGTGTTGACTGGGTGCATCTTCAAAGCCCAGGCAGTTTATGATGCTTTGAGCCTTCATTTCACGCTTGCACGGAACCTTAAAATCAGTCAGATGGAAGAGACTGGGGTCCTTTCAGGTCCTGGGCGTGAAAATGACTTTCCAGATCACCAGGAATATGTCAGAGCCTTTGAAAGTGTAAGGGTTTCCCTGGTGGCTCAGATGGTAAAGCGTCTGTCTGCAGTGTAGGAAACCTGGGTTCGATCCCTGGGTTGGAAAGATCCCCTGGAGAAGGAAATGGCAGTCCACTCCAGTACTCTTGCCTGGAAAATCCCATGGACGGAGGAGCCTGGTAGGCTACAGTCCACAGGGCCGCAAAGAGTCGGACCCAACCGAGTGACTTCACTTTCACTTGGAAAGTGTGCAGTGAACATGTTATTCCCTTTAAGATCTTTCCTTTGAGTTTCTGGCCAGGCTTTTCTTGCCTCAGCTGGCATAGTTGCCTTAGGTAACTGCATTGTTTATTGTCGCTGAGCATTTTCCACAGATGCCCTAGGAATACTACAGGCTTTCAGCTCTGAATCAGGTTAAATAACAGCAACCTCCTTTAAATGGGCTTTTCCCTGGAGCTGCTGCAAACAGGTCAGATCCTGGGAATGCTCATGGCCAGGGCTTTCCTAGGTGCCCAGTCCAGCCCCAGCCTGTCGCCTTGTGGCAACTGCAAGGCTTCTGGTTTTCAAGGCTTCTGCAGAGCAGTGAAGAGGGCGTGGGAACCCGCCAAACTGAGGAAGCCGCAATCCCCACTCTGCAGTTTTTCCTGAATTCCTAAGATTTTTGTAAACTCTTGATTTTGTTGCTTTTGTGGAGGAGTGGGTTTAGGGAGAGCCTCTCTCTGCTGCCCCAGGTGTAGCTCATGTTTCTCTAGTTTTCCTAACAGTTTGTACACCTGGGGAAGTCTTCTCTAAATTGTGAGTCCATAGATGTGAGTACATGGATACTCACCTTCTGCTAGAATGTAGGTTTCCTGGGGACAGGAACTTTCTCTGGCTTGTGCAGTACCTGCATGTAGCAGGAGTGAAGGAAATTATAGATTGGGCAGGGCCCCTGTATTTCTCAGCTGAATTGGGACTCCTGATTCTGGAATGCGCAGATGAGGCAGGATGTCTCTGCCTGGCAAAGTGACTTGACCCTCTTCATGTCCTGTGTTGGCTCTGGGGCAGGCAGCCTGCTGAAAGTAATTCCCTGGAGACAGCATCAGTTCAACCTGTTCAGTTCAGTTCAGTCACTCAGTCGTGTCCGACTCTTTGCGACCCCATGAATCACAGCATGCCAGGCCTCCCTGTTCATCACAAACACCCAGAGTTTACTCAAACTCATGCCCATCGAGTCGGTGATGCCATCCAGCCATCTCATCCTCTGTTGTCCCCTTCTCCTCCTGCCCCCAATCCCTCCCAGCATCAGGATCTTTTCCAATGAGTCAACTCTTCACATGAGGTGGTCAAAGTATTGGAGTTTCTGCTTCAGCATCAGTCCTTCCAATGAACACCCAGGACTTACCTCCTTCAGGATGGATTGGTTGGATCTCCTTGCTGTCCAAGGGAGTCTCAAGAGTCTTCTCCAACACCATAGTTCAAAAGCATCAATTTTTCGGCGCTCAGCTTTCTTCACAGTCCAACTCTCACATCCATACATGACCCCTGGAAAAACCATAGCCTTGACCAGTCGGACCTTTGTTGGCAAAGTAATGTCTCTGCTTTTTAATATGCTATCTAGGTTGGTCATAACTTTCCTTCCAAGGAGTAAGCGTCTTTTAATTTCATGGCTGCAATCACCATCTGCAGTGATTTTGGAGCCCCAAAAAATAAAGTCTGACACTGTTTCCACTGTCTCCCCATCTATTTCCCATGAGGTGATGGGACCAGATGCCATGATCTTAGTTTTCTGAATATTGAGCTTTAAGCCAACTTTTTCACTCTCTTCTTTCACTTTCATCAAGAGGCTTTTTAGTTCCTCTTCACTTTCTGCCATAAGGGTGGTGTCATCTGCATATCTGAGGTTATTGATATTTCTCCCAGCAATCTTAATTCCAGCTTGTGCTTCTTCCAGCCGCATTTCTCATGATGTACTCAACCTGTTATTAGCCTGTTAGTCCCTGTTTTGGGATTATCAGCTTGGAATTTGAATTGATTAACCATTCAGCTGAGCTTTCTGGGTGACTCAGATGGTAAAGAATCTGCCTGCAACACAGGAGACCCTGGGTTCGATCCCTGGGTGGAAGATCTAATTAGTGATGCTCACCGATTATGTGCTGGTTATTGAGTTGGTAAGGGAATTAGGCTGACAGAGTCTTTGCTTCCATGGAGCTGACAATTGAGAGGAGAGACAGGCCAAAACAAAATAAAACCCCCAAGCATTGAGTATGAATTGTGTTAAGTATCACAAAGGAGATGGTGTTGAGTTAGCAGGTATGAATACTTAGTCCGGCAGCTGGGGCAGGAGGGCATGACCGGCGTCCTGGGCCCTCACCCTGGGAGTTGCTTTTCTCTTTGGCCAGTGTTTGTCCAGCACGACGCTGCCCAGCTCTACCTCACAGTCTGGAACCTGATCAAGGACCAAATCACAGATGTGGACTTGGTAAGTCCTAGAATGGAGAGCTCAGAAAGGGAGGGTGCTGTGTAGAAAGGGTGCTGCCGTGTAGAAAGGGCTGAAAGAGGAAACGTGTAGAATGCTCACCACAGCTGTGCAATGTGGCCACTGTGACTTCTCTGCACCTTAGTGAGCAGGGGCAGGGGCAGCCGCTGTTTCCGGAGCTGTGTGGTGGCTCCAGCTCTGGACGTGGCTGACCCGCTCACTCGGGCTCTCTTTGCCCCTCTTCCTCCTGCCCACCCCCCCACCGCCCACCTTGCAGGTCGAGAGGCTGGAAGCCCTCTACACCATCCGCGTGAAGGAGTCCTTGGCCTGTCTTGAATGTGCCTCGAAGGTGGACAGAAACAGCAGCATGCTGGCCCTCCCTCTGTCTGTCTTTGACATGGACTCGAAGCCCCTGAAAACACTGGTGAGGTTCCTCCTGGGGAGTTTGCTATTCCCTGCAGCCCAATGTTGCCGGCTCTCCCTTGTTTCTGTAATGCACCCTTGGCTTTTAAAAACGAATTTCCATTTCCTAAGCATGAGTCTGACTCAGTTCTTTGATTTGCAGGAAAAATAAGTCTCTCCTCCCACTCCCCTTGTCCTTCCTGAGATTCTCTCTGAGATCCTGGCACGTGCACCATGCGGGCTGATGTTAGGGGGACCTGGGGAGAACCCTCGTCTGTGGGGAGAGGGGTGACCCCAGGTGGAGTAACCCTGGCTTTCTCTGCTCTCTGGGGCAGGAGGACGCCCTCCACTGTTTCTTCCAGCCCCAGGAGCTGTCCAGCGCGGACGAGTGCTTCTGTGGGAAGTGTGGCAGGAAGACTCGCCGGAAGCAGGTACTCGCTGCTGATCAGAGGTTTCCCTGGACCGTGGCGGGGGGTGGGGGGGTGGCGCGGAGTGTTGGGGAGGGGGCATGCTGAGGGAGGGAATCCGCCAGGCTGGGTCCAGGATCCTGGGGCTTCTGATGCCCGGAGCTGTGGATATGCTCCTGGGGCCCCATCACTGTGGGGGTGGGGAGGGCACAAGAGCCACACTCAGGCCTACCCTTGCCTGGGCTCAGGGAGCAGACTCCGCAGTCCTCTACAAACCCCTGTGAAGCCCTGGGCTGCTCAAGCCTTCTGTGGGAGACCCAGCAGATTCAGAGGAGGGGTGCTGTTCCACTCCCTTCTTTTTGGGGAGGAAGAACATCCCGTTGGCCCTGGTGCTTTTTGGAATTGACCTGTTTCAAGTGCCTGGGACTCATCTCCATGGTGACTGTGTTTTTTCCAGGTCTTGACGCTGACCCACCTGCCCCAAACACTGACCATCCACCTCATGCGATTCTCCATCAGAAACCTGCGGGCAGAAAAAATCTGCCACTCATTGTATTTCCCCCAGAATCTGGATCTAACCAAGCTCCTTGAGACAGAGGGAGAGCCCTACAGTGCTGAGGAGCAGGTGAGGGCCCTTGTGCTCCTTACACACACACACACACACACACACACACGCACGCACCCTGGCCTCATCAGAGCCCATGTCTTTTGTCTGTCTCCCTCCCCTGAGCTGCCCAGCATCACACACACCAGAGATGTGTTTTGGGTTTGGGGCGTCATCCTCTCCCGAGCTCGGGATGCACAGGGAGGAACACTCACCAACGCTTAGTGTGATTCGTGGAAACACACTCACACATTCAAGAAACACTGATCTTTCAAATAATGAGTTTAGAGTCTTCTCAAATAGCAGCCATGGGGCTGTTAGCTTCACATTCCCACCAATGTTGTGTTGGCAGCTGCATTTCTGTTAAGACTCAGAAGACTTTATTTCTAATGACTGGATTTGTGCTCAGCTACCTCGCAGCACTGATGGAAGGAACGATACGTCAGAACCTTCCTTTTACATAGGATGTGCCTCAGGTGACCCTCATTCTGGGTACTGAGCAGTACCAGCCTCGTTTCCTTCTCCCGCCAGATTACACTCGCCTAGGGGATAAGAAAGCAGCCAGCACTTGGGGCCAAATTGATTTAGCGTAAAGTTGGATCCAGTTGTCTTGAGCTAGTAAGTTGTCGGGAGATTCTGAGAAAAGTGACATAAAAGACTTTTCTCCATAGGTTTAAAATCCTACACTTATTGCCATATATACATAGGTCCATTTTTGGACTGTCTGTTTTGTTCCACTGGGATGTTTACTATCCATGTTCTAGAACTATGTGGTTTTTGGGTTTTTTTTTTGAAAATTGAGGCCTGACCATGTGTTTGAGTGGCTCCTATTATAACAGGGTTTCCTTCCCTGTTTGGGGCATAGTATTCTGTTCTTTCCTTCTAGTTTCCTTATTTCCACTTGCACAGCCTACCTAATGAAGTATCTTAAAATTCTTTTATCTTGAAAAGACATGTGAGGAATTATATAATGTCTCCCTATATACCAACAGCCTAAACAGTTGTGCAGACTCACAACCAGTCTTTCTTTACTGGCACCCCATCCTCTTCCTTCTCTAAACCTCTCCTGGGTTATTTTGAAGCAAATCTCAGATGCCATGCATGTCATTTGCAAGTATTTCATTATGTCTCTGTAGGGCTTCCTTGGTGGCTCAGATGGTAGAGTCCACCTTCAATGCTGGAGACCTGAGTTCAATCCCTGTGTCAGGAAGATCCCCTGGAGGAGGGCATGGCCACCCACTCCAGTATTCTTGCCTGGAGAATCCTCATGGACAGAGGAGCCTGGCAGGCTACAGTCCATGAGGTCTCTAAGAGTCGGACATGACTGAGTGCCTAAGCACACAGCACATGTCTCTCTAAAGAAGAAGCACAGTTTTTCCAAACATGACCAATTCCATTTCATGATTATGTAATATCCTCTAATATCCAGTCAGTATTTGGATCTCCTTGACTGTCCTGTAAGCTGTTTGCTGTGTTTGAATCTAGAGCCACATAAAGTCTGCACTTGCATTTGCTTCAGTTTGTTCCCTCCCTCCCTTGGCCTTTCTTTCTTCTATAGGTTCCATTTCTTTGTTGTTCTCCCTCCTTTTCTTTTCCTTGAGATGAATTTATTTGAAGGGTCTTGTGTACACCCAGAATTGGCTAGTGGTCTTGTTTGGCGCATTTCTGTCTCCTTGTGTTTCCTGTAAACTGATAGTTTCATCCAGAGTTTGCCGCAGTGTAATGTTAACAACCCAGTGTAATGTCCTCACGCAAGAACAGAAAATTATTTGAGCCCTCCTTTTTAAGGACCAAGCTTTGTTTTGTCGACTGAAAAATATAGTCACAACCTGAAAGTAGAGATTTGTTTTATTTGGTGGGAATGTTTAGGACTCGGAGTCCCAGAGACAGTATCTCAGTAGCTCTGAGAAAACTGCTCCAAGGAGGCAGGAGGGCAGTGAACCAGTCAAGCTGCTCAGTTGTGTCCAGCTCTTTGCAACCCCATGGACTGTAGCTTACCAGGCTCCTCCAACCCTGGAATTTTCCAGGCAAGAGTACTGGAGTGGGTTGCCATTTCCTTCTCCAGGGGATCTTTGTGACCCAGGGATCTAACCCAGGTCTCCTAGCATTGCAGGTGGACGCTTTACCATCTCAGCCACCAGGGAGTCAGGCTATATACAAGTTTGCAATGGAGGGAGCAGGCAGCCTGAACATCAAAGATCAGGTATTAAGTTAAGGAGTTTAGCATTCTTTGTATGGGAAGATGCAAGCCTCTGGGCTTGAATTCACTCCTTGCCTGTGTACCTCAGCTACCTGAGCACCTCAGCCAATTCTGTTTCCTTGTTTACCTTGCGTCTTGCATCTCCCCCTACCCCCACCAGCAGTCACTGTTGGGGGTGGCAGCATCTGCTGGACCTCAGTTTTAGGAGCCCTCTTTCACATTTGGAGGCCAGAAATCGCTGATGGCTGTGACAGTTCTTGTTTATTAATAGGCAGAAGATATTTTCATTTCACAGTTTGTACCACCCTCATCCTGTCCCCTTCATAATCCCATTTCAGAATATCAGGTAAGGGACATTATTTGACTGTATTGAGAAGAAAAATACAGTTTTCCTGACTCTTGTGGAGATCTTGCTCAAAACGAAAAGTCTCACCACTGTTCCCTTTTCACAGAGAATCGTCTCTTATCTAGCCTTTCTGAGACCAAAGGGAGCAGGGTTACTTATCCCAAACCTGGTGACTATGCTGGTCTTTCCCTTACCATGATGCTCTCTTACTGATTCTGCTCTGCTTCAAATCTGTCTCCTCCAGGCCTCTCTCCTGGGGCTTCTTTCTCTGCTTTTGGATCCTTTCCTGCCCATTTTTATTGGTATTTAGTTTTCATCGCATTCCTTTTTCTTCCCATTGTTCAAATGTCTTCTCATTAGTTCTTAAGGTTTTGATCATCTGATACTGAGGATTTCCGAGTCCCTATCCCCTACTCAGGTCTCTCTCGATCCCCAAACCAGGGTGTCTACCTCCTGCTGAGTCCTGAAACTTGCTGTCTTCATCCCCAGACACCTCTGTTCCATGTGTAACTTTATAGCACCAACATCTTCTTAATTTCCAAGCCGAGAATCTGGGGTTCATCCTTGTGGTGCCCCTACTTACTACTCCCCACTGTATCCATCAGTTAGAGTGACTTACTGTTTTTCCTTGACTTTGCACAAATCTGTCCCCCACTTCCTCAGTACTGGAGTCAAAAGCTGGTGCTTTTTTTTTTTTTAACTCCCAGCCCCCTCCCAAAAGCTGGTGCTTTGGAGCCAGGCAGGCTTGGGTGGAGGTCCCACCTCTTGATGAGCTCTGAATCTGACGTGAGTTTCTGTACTCCCTGAGCTCAGATTCCATGTCTGCAAAATGGGATTCATGCTGACACCCCATGTACAGGTTTGCTGTGGATATTAAATGAAATAGTGCATATGAATCACATTTATGTCTAAACACAGAATCCTGTTTAGTGATTAGCTGTCATCAAAATCCATTTCAAAATGCATCATGTTAGATGAAGATATACCATGTTGTCTTATGAGCCTTGAATGTCTTATTCTGAAGATGTATTATTATTTTAAACAGTGGACCTCCAGAGAAGTCCCCATAGCATCTTTTTAAAAAATTTTATCTATTTTGACTGTACTGGGTCTTTGTTGCTTTGTACTGGCTTTCTCTAGTTGTGGAGATCAGGGGCTACTCTTTATTGTGGTGCGTGGGCTTCTCATTGGGGTGGCTTCTCTGGTTGTGGAGCACAGGCTCGAGGTGCGTGGGCTTCAGTAGTTGCAGACTTGGGCTCAGTAGTTGTGGCTCGCGGGCTTAGGTCTGCAGCATGTGGAATCTTCCCAGAACAGGGATCAAACCTTTGTCCCTTGCATCAGCAGGTGGATTCTTATCCACCGTGCCACCAGGGAAATCCCTGAAGATGTATTATTAAGTGAACTACAAAGTATTTCCTGCTTCTAATTCTTAAACTTCTCATGAAAGATGTGAAGACAGTTTTCTCTCAGTGGCTAGACATATTTAGGCATATTTTTTGTATACAGCATAGGTGTGTGAGTCATCATGAGACTGCTAAAGGCACTGTAAAATCGTAAAAAGCTGTAACTTTTAGCGCAGCAATACAAATCTACCAGGAGATCCAACCGGTGCATCCTAAAGGAGATCAGTCCTGGGTGTTCATTGGAAGGACTGTTGCTGAAGCTGAAACTGCAGTACTTTGGCCACCTCATGCGAAGAGTTGACTCATTGGAAAAGACCCTGATGCTGGGAGGGATTGGGGGCAGGAGAAGCGGATGACAGAGGATTAGATGGATGGTTGGATGGTATCACCGACTCGATGAACTTGAGTTTGAATAAACTCTGGGAGTTGGTGATGGACAGGGAGGCCTGGCGTGCTGTGATTCATGGGGTCTCAAAGAGTTGGACATGACTGAACAACTGAACTGAACAAAGAACCAAAATAATAACGTTTAAGCTTGTTTTGAAGTAGTTCACTTGAGCAAGTATGTCATAAAATATTTGAGTGTGTTGCTAATGGAAATATTCACTTTTCAAATTTTATATTATGTATACATTTGTCTATCACCTATCATGTAACAATTCAAGTATGCTATTAATATTATAGTGCATAAATTATATATTTATGCTCATTATTTTTCTTACAGCATATGAACCTTAGATTTCTAAAGAAAAAAATGATAGACTCAGCATCTGGATATGACTCTTTAGTTGGTCAGGAGGAATAAGAAACATTTAATTCACAATGCAAAGTAATTTTTTTCTTTGAGGGCGCTTTATGATGTAATATGTAAGAAGAATATTGTATCTGAAAGTGAAAGTCACTCAGTTGTGTCTGACTCTTTGTGACCCCGGCAAGAATACTGGAGTGGGTAACTGTTCCCTTCTCCAGGAGATCGTCCTGACCCAGGAACTGGGGTCTCCTGCATTGCAGGTGGATTCTTTACCAGCTGAGCTCCCAGGAAATATATTTAATTCAAGGAAAAATAAAATATTAGTTAACTTTTGGGAAAAAAAAGTAATGTATGTGAAGACTTAGCCAAATGCTGGAAGTTAGCTAGTAATTATCATGTTAATAATGCTTGTTGTCATTTCCTGGCACTTCTTGCAGGTGGTCAGTCTCTCACCATTTCTTCCTCTCTCAGCTGTGACTCTGCCTCACTTGGACTCTCAGGCCATTTTCACGTCCCTTCACTCTGGTGTTCTCAAACACAAATCTGATGGCGCTGCTCTCCTGCGCAGAGCCTTCCGAGGCCACCACTGCTGGGATGTTTTGACTCCTGACTTGGCCTCAGGGGAACCTCACTTGGTTCCCTGCACCTCTGCCCCATCCCTCGACCCCATCCCCCTCCACCATCCCCCGGGGCGTGCTGCCGGGCCTCCCCAGATCCTTCAGGGTCAGTTTAAGCACATTGTCTCTGGGGAGCTTTCCTCCACTGCTCATTCCTTCTTGTTTTGGGGGCAGAGACTGGTTCCCAGATTTATCTGTAAGCCTGGTGTGAAACCTCACTTCACAGCTGTGCTGTAATTAGGTATGAGCATCTGTGGTCAGAGATGGTCTTCTGGGGCCCTGGGCGCACCAGTGCCTGGCAGAGAGGCTCGGAGAAGCAGAGGGCCGGAAGAGGAGGCGTCATGGGGGTCCCTTTATCCTTGTGTCCTTCAGTGTGGAGGGTACTATGAGCTCTTTGCTGTGATCGCCCACGTGGGGAATGCTGACTACGGTCACTACTGTGCCTACATCCGGAGTTCTGAAAATGGAGAATGGTTCTGCTTCAACGATTCCAATGTTTGTTGGGTGAGAAGCGTCCTCCCAAACTGCCCCTTGCCCTGGGTGCTCCATCTCTAATGGGTTCTGAGCCAGGACGGGAAGGCCACTGAGACCCAGACACACTGGGGTCCTGTTTTCTCTGTGTGTTGGGGGGCCTTTGTGAAGTTTGAAGCCCGTTTCTGCATGGAGCCCCATCTGGTTCTCAGCTCTGCTACAGTCTGCTGAGCTTAGCGTCCCGGTTTCTGGAATTCTTGGCTCAGGGCCCTGAACCCTTGTGCTCTGGGCTAGCCTATGAAGGCAAGAAGCTCTAGGAAGAGTTACAAAGTCTGGGCCCAGCATAACCAAGTGTAGACAATGCACTTGAGGGACTCCGTGTGCCGAGTGCCTATCACTGGGTGATCGAGCCTGGGAGTAGTCAGACTGGTCTGTCTGGGGGAGGGAGGGCAGCTGGCAGCACCATCACTCTCTGGCCACTTAACCTGGTTGTCTCTGTCCTTGCAGGTGTCCTGGGAAGACGTCCAGTGTACCTATGGGAATCGCAGCTACCGCTGGTGAGGAGGGCTGGATGGTGGACCCCATGAGCTCACGCAGGGCATCTCCTGCTGTAGGAAAGGGCTGCCACTCACCTTTGGAGGCCCAGAGAATATGCTCAGCCTCGTCTTTTCAGCCCCATCCACTGCACTGCTCCTCTCCTAGTTTATTTTTAAAATTTTTTTCATAGGTAAAGGTTGGACATTATGTATGTATTTTTGAATTAGTTAAAAAAATTTTTGGCAGTGCTGTGTCTTCATCACTTTCTCTAGTTGTGGCGGGCGGGGGCTACTCTTTGTTGCAGGTGCACAAGCTCCTCACTGTGGTGGCTTCTTTCGTTGCAGAGGACAGGCTCCAGAGCTTGCGGGCTCAGCAGTTGTAGTGCACAGGCTTAGCTGCCCCATGGCACGTGGAACCTTCCCAGACCAGAGATGGAACCCGTGTCTGCTGCACTGGCAGATGGAGTCTTAACCACTGCACTGCCAGGGAAGTCCTCCTCTTGCAGTTTAGACCCAGCAGTGCTGAAGTGTCTGAGGCTCCCAAACGTCACACCATCCCTGGCTTTGCACGTGCTGTCCCTTCCCCTAGTTTGGCCCTGGGGCAAACCCCCTTCATGCTTCCATGCTTCTGCTCATGCCCGCCTGCCCTGTAATGCCTTCCCGGCACCATCCAGGCAGGTTTGCAGGAGCCCCTCAGGTGCTTTCCATCATGTGCTCACCTCTTCACAGCCAGGACCACACTGCTCGGTCACTGTTCACCTACATAACATTCTTTCACGTTAACCATGAACTCTTCGGAGGCAAGGATCACTCTTGTCCTCCTCTGCTGTCTGGTACGGAGGCTTGACTTTAATCAATAGCAGTAAATATATTGTTGAAAATCGGTAACTACACAAAGCGGAGGCTGGAGAGGAGAAAGCTGGGCAGAGATAAAGCAGAGACTGCAGGTTTTTTCTGCAGAGCTTCTGGGTTAAAGGTGACATTGCACACTAAGTGTGGTGTGGGATGTGGCCCCAGCCACACGAGTAGGTCTTCACTTGGAAACTGATAAATTGGGTGAAATTTTTCTTGAAATCCTGCCTACCCCCAACCTGCTACTTTTCCTCTTCTCCTTTTCTTCTAAGCATCTCCCTTAGATACACTCTTAGATACACACTTTGTCACCTTTTGGTTGTCAGTGATCCCCCGTTATTTAGATCAGGGTTTGGCAGATTTTTTCTGTCAAAGGCCAGAGAGCGAATGTTTCAGTTTCTGGGATACGCAGTCTGTGTCTCGGCTCCTCGGCTCTGCTTCTGCAACGCAAAAGCAGCCACCGGTGGTAGGTGAGTGAGCGTATGTGGCTTTGTTCCTGTTACATTTACTTAAGTTCATGGGCTCATAGTTTGTCAACCCCTGCTTGAAATGTTAGCTAACAGCTTAACAGTAATTATTTACCTGGGTACCCAGTTTTGTCCACTCTGAGCTGATGGATAGATGAAGACCTGATCCAGTAACCCGGGAAGTTTTCTGACGGGTGTTCTATCATGAAGTAATAATGTGGTAGTGAACTGTGAATGTTTTGTCTCAGTGATGCCCTTGCACTTTTTTTCTTTCTAGGGGGGAGACTGCCTATCTCCTGTTTTACATGAAGACTGAGTCCTAATGGATGTTCCCTAAACCTTTAGAGACCTACAAAGTATCATCTTCCTCTTCTGTTCCTGTCTCTGCAGACTCTTGTAAGAGATTCTGCAGTGAGGAGAGGCACCATTTTCAAACTGTTTACATTTTATTTATAATCAGTGGTGATTATTAAAATATTTAGCTGTGACACTACACAGGTCTGGATCGGTCAGAAAGGGTGCCACTGGTGGACTCATGGCTGGGTCAGGTCTGGATTGCTCCTGCTGCACAAGGCGGTGATCCTTTAGCTGGGAGCTGCAAGGTCCAGGTGCTCCCAGGGGAGGAGAGACCAGGCCAGTGCTGCTAGCAGGAGGCAGTTGGGTAACAAAGGGCTGTGGTCAGGAATTATTTCAATATTCTACAGCTAATGTAACTGTACTGGTAGGTACTGACTGTATATCATTTCTGTTTATAATTTTAAAAACTTTTAGGGCTTCTCTAGTGGCTCAGTGGTAAAGAATCCACCTGCCAATGCAGGAGACATGGGTTTGATCCTTAATCTGGGAAGATCCCACATGCCGTGGAGCAGCTAAGCCTGTGCACCACGACTACTGATCCTGTGCTCTAGAACCCAGGAGCCACAAGGACAGAGCTCACATGCTTTACAGCCTGTCCTCCGAAACAAGAGAAGCCACTGCAATGAGAAGCCTGTGCACACCAACTAGATAGTAACTCCCGCTGACCACAACAAGAAAAAAGCTCTCGCAGCAACAAAGACCCAGCACAGCCAAAAATTAAAAAAAGAAACTTTAAAATGCGTATCAATTACATGAAACTCAAGTGCTTTGTAATTGTTATTCATTTGTTTGATAAATATGTGTTGATCACCTACTCTGTGAAACAGTATGCCAGACATAGTAATGAATGCAATTCTTTCTCTCAAAAAGAACTTTTTAATTTAATGAAGGTTGATTAAAATACATACAATACTGAGGGTTTCTGCTACAGGAATTTGAAGGAAAATAAATGAAATTCTTCTGCTCTGTGCCCACAGGAGAAGCCTGAAGGCTGGAAGGGGGCTGAGAGTGAGGACAGTCTGTTTACAGGGAGAAGCAGGCCCAGTGGCATGGCTCAGGGTTTAAAGACCCTCCACACACTTGGATGGAAGGGAGGTGGGGCTCAGCACGTTGATCTTGATCCAGGCTTAGAAGTTTGGGTCTAACTTAATAAGTAATGAGGATTTTTTTTTTTCTTTTGGAAAGTGTTCAAAAAGGAAAGGAACAATTAGTGGTGTTTCAATAAAATGGATTTGCTGGTGACATGGGTTAGACACAGGATGGCAGCATGTGTGGACAGGCGTGCACAGCCCCTGGAGCCATGTCAGAGGAAGAATGTGAATCGTGGGGTGCCCAGGGAAACTCTGCACCAGCCTGGGAAGAAGTGTGTGGACACCCCCCACCTACCGATGAAGTGACTTGGTCATTCACGTGTTTAACGACTTGTTTGAGATTTCATAGTTTGTGAGTGGCAGAGCCAAAACCTCCAATGTGAAATGAGGGTGATTTATTCTTTTTATTGGCAAGAATTTAGCTACACGAGAGTAAATTCTCACCGTATCTTAGCCAAACAATGTAGTCATGGACAGATCCTCTTCCTTAGTGCTAACCGTCGCTAAACAGGTGTGTGTATATTCTTACCTCTACCGTCACAGATGATCATAAAGCACTTGGCTGAAAACCAGAGAAGCTGTGTTTTTTTTCTTGCAGTCTGGAGGCTGGAGTCTGAAATCAGGGTGTCCCAGGGCTGGTTTCTCCAGGATGCTGTGAGGGAAAGCCTGCCCTGGCCTTTCTCCTGGAGCCTGGTCAGGCCAGCCCTACTTTCATCCCCTGTGTGGACCTGAGTCCCTCTGGCCTCCACCTCCATCTTCACGCGCTGTCTTCCCTACATGTGTTAGTCGAGGACACCAGCCATGGGTTAGGGGCCATCCCAGTGTAGCATGACCTCGCCTTCACTTGGCTAATTTCATCATTCTGAGGTTCCAGGTGGATAGGAATTTTAGGGGGACCCTATTCAGAGTAGCAAAATGTATTGATTCCCCTGGGCCTTATTTTAGGCGTTGGCATGCATATTCACAGATACGAATAATTTTTACATCATGAATTCTACTGGACAAATTATTCTGCTCATTGTTTTTTCTCATAATAGTGTCTTAGGAAAGTTTCCAAGTCTGTATGTAGATGGATAACATTCTTTTGAATTGTTACATTTACTCCATAAATAGATATACTATATTTTTTCCATTCCCATATTGGTAAATATTTAGGGCATTTTCATTTTTTCACTATTTTGAGTACCTTTAGATGTGTTTTTGTACATGAGTAAATATTTCTGTAGGTACTGAGGGGTGAAATTATGGACCAAAGAGACTGAAGGGAGAAGTTACATGTAGACTCCAAGTTAAAGAGGAAGAGTACTAATAGATCATTTTTAACGTCCTGGATTGAAGGAGAAGAAAAAGGAATCAATTGACTTGAGTTTCTGGAAGTAGCTGATTTCTACGCTATTTTGTCTTCTCCAAAGTGCTCCCTTATCCATCCATATATCCGTTTGTCCAAAAATCAAGGTTCACAGTGATGCCCAATGCCTGACCTTGTGTGAACTTTGCGTGGTCTTGTTTTGAGGGTTTGAGGTCTGTGGTTATTTCACCCCCATGTACCCCTGCTGTCTGCCGCCCCAGACTTCTTCAGCACGTACACCCCATATCTTTGCATTGTGTACATGTACCCCGTTTTCTGTCTTCATTCATCTGTCCTTGTCCACTTAAGTTGCTTCCGTGTCTTGGTTAGTGTACTAGTGACGCCATGATCGTTGGGTGCAGGTATCTTTTTAAATTTTGGTTTTCTCTGAATCTATGCTTAGGTATGGGATTGCTGGGTCACTGGGTACTTCTATGTTTAGTTTTTTAAGAACCTCCATAATGTTCTCCCTAGTGGGTGTACTGACTTACGTTCCCACAAACAGTGTAGGAGGGTTCCCTTTTCTCCGCAACCTCTGCAGACTTTATTGTTGTAGGGTTTTCAATGTGGCCATTCTGATCAATGTGAGGTGATACCTCATTGTACATTTGATTTGCCTTTCTCTAAGAACTAGTGATTCTGAGCATCGTTTCATGTGCTTTATGACCATTTCTATGACTTCTTTGGAGAAATGTGCATTTATTCTTTGGCCGATTTTTTATTGGGTTGTTTTTGACATTGAGCTGTACTAATGGTTTGTATGTGTTGAAGAGGAATTCCCTATAGGTATCTTTGTTTGCAAGAATTTTTTTTTCCATTCTGAGGGTTGTCTTTTTCTTTCACTGATGGTTTCCTTTGCTGTGCAGATGCTTTTAATGTTTATTAGGTCCCATTTGTTTTTGTTTTATTTTCATGATTCTATGAGGTGGATCAAAAAAGAACTCGCTTCATTTTATGCCAAGGCATGTGCTCTTTTCCTCAAGAGTTTCATAGTATCTGTCCTTTTATTTAGATCTTTAATCTGTTTGGAGTTTATTTTTGTGCATGGTGTTAGGGAGCATTCTAATTTCATTTTAATTTTCATTGCTAAGGAACCTGCCCGATGTCCTCCACGGTGGCTGCTCCCAATTTCCGTTCCCAGCGTCAGTGTAGGAGGGTTCCCTTTGCTCTACACCCTCTCCAGCACTTATTGCTTGTAGAGTTTCCATCTAGGCCATCCTGACTGTTACGAGGTGATACCTTCTTGAAGGTTTGATTTGCATTTCTCTCATATTTAGCGATATTGACATTTTTACATGTGATTTTTTTAAACAGTGTGAGTTAAACTTATTCAAATTGGCTTCCTGAAGGCCTGCTCTGTTTTTAATATTTTTTCTGTTGACGTCCCCGAGGGTATTTCTTGAGGGCAGGTGTTCTTAACTTACAGCCCTCAGGCCTAGTGTGGCCTAGGGGCACCGCAGTGTCGGTGAGCAAAGGATTTAAAGTTGTTGTTATGGGAAATGGCCACAAGGTGGCAGCATGTCTTTAAGCCCCTACCCTGGTTACTGGGGGAACTAGAGCCTTAGGGAAAGTCCTGTTTCTGGATTGTCAATTAGAGTGGAATGTGCCAGAAGAAATACCCAAAGCTTGTGTCCCATTCCTTCTTCCTTCCTTACCCCTATCCCCTGGACATATCCCAGTTCATGCAACACCCCTCCATGGAGGATGCTTTAATCATAGGTGGGGTGACCCTAAGGAAGGAAGCTGGGGGTGGGAACCCCATCACCTGGAAACATGGGAGTCCAGGGGGCTTTCAAAGCTCCTCCAGCCAAGAGGCTCCACGTCCTTTGGGTGCAGTAGGTGTAGTTGCACTGCAGGAGGACCTGCCAGGATCTGGTGGTTGTGGGCTGGTGCGTAGGGGAACAGGCTTACCAGGTCCATGGGGCAGGGCTCATTGGCTGGCACATCCTCCCCAGCTCCCTCAGCCCCAAGGCAGTCCATCCAAGGGACCCAAGCCTGCCCAGGCTTCAGGGATATGGCAGCAGCCCAGGTCACTAAGGCCTGAAGGGAATAGAGTCAGCATTCTCCTTTTGTAATTTGTATTTTGTAATGGTGCAGAGGTGACTTACAATGTTGTAGAGTTTATTTGTTTCAGGTGTACAAATGATTCAGACATGCATAGTGATGCATAAACGTTCTAGTGATGCATAGTACATGTTCTTTTTGGGTTCTCTTCCCATATAGTTTATTATACAGTGTTGATTAGGGGTCCTCATCCTATAGTGGGTTCTTGTTGATTATTTTACAAAGAGTCGTGTGCGTATGTTCATCTCCACCTTCTCATTTCCTTTGCCCACCACCTTTCCCTTTTGGTAACCATAAGGTGCTTTGCTATGTTGTGAACCCTTTCCTTTTTTTTTAAAAAGAAGTTCATTTGTACCCATTTTTAGAATCCACCTCCAAGAAATATCATACGATACTTGTCTTCCTTTGTCTTCCTCACTTAGTGTGATCATCTCTGCTTCCTTCCTTGGTGCTGGACATGGCG